AAACGTAATGACTTAAACTTTCGGCAACTTCCCTTACTTATGCACCAATATACATTCATCACCTGTCTATGGAGTTTATGCATCTTAGTTGATGCTGATACGCAAGAGCATGCTCTACATATGAACAATTTCTAAAACGAGGTAAATTATTAACAAACAAGTTGATGATGCCAGATTATCAGCAGTCTCTTTAAAAGTCATCATTTCGTAAGTTCTATGGTCGATACAATGACCTTGTCAGCAAATACAATTTATCATTGAGTCAAATATTAACTGATATTTTTCATACTAATTGTTAGTCCTTTATTTATGCACTGAATTGACGACGGATTTTCCCGTTATTTCACGATTATGACAAGGAGCATACGACGGCTGTGAACGGTCGGCAGGGAATGCTCACTCCTCCATGGTAACTGATCCCACCTCTGATGGTTTGGAGGTCCGTGTTTGTTCTACTCCTGTTTTGAATTGTTTTATGGACTTTTTTTGGTTACAACACTTTCACGGGTACATGTATGATTATTTTCATCTTTTGGTACAAAATTACATCCAATTTACACACAATAAATATACTTTTATAAAATGTGAAAGTTGTTTTGAAGAAAAAGACAAGCAAATAATGGACTTTTGATTTTGAATATTCCATATGTTTCATCACAAATATCACATTATTGATTTTTTTTAAAACAGCTTAAGTCATTTTGCATCCTTGTGTATCTGAATATGGAATGGAGCAAAAAAATAGCAAAACATATAGAATGGAAGAAGGACCTGCTCTCTAAATACATTATACGTTCACATCTTTTGAATAACACTGTGTTAATGGTAAAATAGTAAATATTGGAGAACGCGATATTTTTTCATTTACCAAGAATTTAAGATGCATTTATCATCATGTGAATATAAACAACAGGTTTTCCGCGTGCCGCAATTGTTAGAGATTCTGATCTTGAGTAGCAAGGTAAGAATTTGATTCTGACGTTGCAGATCCCACTGTGGGACGTGTTGTCCGGTCCTTAAACGGATGAGACCGTGTAAACTGAGGTCCCGTGTCGTAGTAGGTGTTGGCACGAAAAAAGATCCCTTACTGGTCAATGGCCCTGAGTGCCGAACATAGGTCAAAATTTGCATCTCTCCACCGGCAAGTGGTGGCGTCTCCATATTGGTGAAAAATTCTTGAGAGGGATATTCAACAAAACGTAAACAATCAACAACAGTTTAACAATAAAAGAAATATCCTTAAATGAAGAAAAAGAGTACCGTGAAATCTCACTCGTTTTGGTTTTTGTTTGTTTGTTTATTGTTTACCGTCCATATCGAGAATTTTTCACTCATATGGAGACGGTGGAGAGCTGCAAATTTTGTCCTATGCTCGGCACTCAGGGCCATTGATAAGGGAGGGATCTTTTTCGTGCCTGTACCTACTGCGACAAGGGACCTCGGTTTATACGGTCTCATCCGAAGGACCGGTCTTCACGTCCCACAGTGGGATTCGAACCCACGACGTAATGATTAACTCTTTACTTCGCGACTCTAGAGCACACGCTCTAACCACTGCGTCAATTGCACCTATTGGAAATATAGCCGGTATGATCGCTATTTATTCATTTATCAAGTTTAATTTTAATTCTTTTAGCAATAGTGCATCATGCACTTTTGTTTACAGTTTTTAAGACTGGATTATTTCTACATAAATAAGGAAAGTTAAAAACCTGAAGACATCTCATTTGTCAAACAATTTAATTGAATGTACTTTTGAGCTTGAATACTATCTGTTATCTCCATTTATACCATTAGTTTTCTTTAGATATTTCATTCCTGAAAATTAAGTCTAACCCCACAAGAAGTTTGATTGACTTGCTTGTACAGAACTATATAAATTCTTGTTAAGTTTAAAGTTAATATTAAAGTTATTATCATATCAGAAGAATGAAACTTTGATTACTTTCACAAGGATAAAAACAGTGCTCCTAGTCGTGATCTAGAAATAACTGAAAAATCCGTCGTCAATTCAGTGTCAATGATAAGAACAATGATAACCTGCCTAGTTCTAGGTGACCAATGTTAGAGGGTTAATAAGTGTGGTGATAAAATTGATGACATATATATTTTGAACACTAAATTCTAAAGTGAGTATGTAAGCAACGGTGATTGATTGATTGACTGTATATTGTTTAACGTCCCTCTCGAGAATTTTTCACTCATATGGAGACGTCACCGTATGCCGGTGAAGGGCTTCAAATTTTGACCTTTACTCGGCACTCAGGGTCATTGAGCAGTGAGGGATCTTTATTGTGCCAACGCCTGCCGCTGACACGGGGACTCGGTTTTTAAGGTCTCATCCGAAGGACCCACAACTTTCACTTAAATTTGCCGAGCGCATGGCGAAGGAACAGTTGCTACCCATTTTTTTATCGACATGGGTCAGTCGCGACCGAGATACGAACTCACGACCTCCCGATCACGGAGCGAGCGCTAAGCAACGGTGAAGTAATTATAAATCATGTTGTCAATATTTCTGAACGTTGAAGTGGAAGCAAATACATAATTTCCGAGACTCGTTCGAAAAGTTCGTGGACAATGTCAATTTTTGTTATATTACTCACTAGAAATTTAAAATAAGTATAATATGATATGTAAAAATATTTGTTTTGTTGATGTGTAATGTTTCATTTCATTCGATTTAAGGATGCTCTTAACACTAACAGAAACTGCTTTTTGGACTTAGAGAAAAATATATATATCATATCAATTTTTCATTCATTTATATCATAGGGTAGGAGCCTAATTTTCACCTGAAAATGTTCAAAGACAATGGACAGTTTGTGAGCAGAAATTACTGCTATTTACTTACATTGGGAAAATTAATGAAAATAATGAATTCAATTACTTATTCTAGGTCTTATATAATGCTAAACATGCTTTAATCTTTTACAAAACTTGTAATAAATTGTAAATAACAATTTTAATAATAGTACTTCTAAGGGCAGATCATTCTAACTGCATAAAACTACCTTATAAATGTAACTCTTTAGTATGCAGTGTTTAGAACTTCCTTAACAGAAATCAATTTACTGCATTTTAAAATCAACATGTGTTGTACCCGCGGAGCACCCTTAACGACAATGTAACGTCAAAATATAGTGTCAAGAATTTCTAAAATATACTATTACTACACATTTCACAAAGTATAATCCAATGCCCAATTATTAAATCTTTTTTCTAATACTTGCAATTCATTTTATTTAGAATTGCTCTCGTTGTATGATTTCCTTTGTTAGGATTTTAATTTCTTTTATTACTTAACTCTGCGTTCACAGGGTAAGCAACTCTAAAGCGCCTACTTTGTCTTTCCTTGACGTTCAAAAAAAAGTTTTTGTTAAGATTTTTACAGATATTAAACGTTTCTTCACAGATTGTCCTTATCTGAAACAAAGTCTCTGTCACTAAAATACTGTCTATACTATTTGTACACACATGTACAACTCGCTTGTGACATATTTTTTGATTCCTTTAACATTTTTTTGAGTTTATTCAGGATTTTTTCTGAGTAAAAGACAAAATTGCATCTTTATTGGCTGCTCCATGACGTTCTAAAACGTCAGCGTTTTTGTCGTTTTCAACTAGGACTAGCTATCTTCTCAAGCTGATTTCCTTTCAACAAAGCAAAATATTAAGCCATAATTTGGAATACTAATGGATGTAACAATTCTAAATTTAGATTTCTCAGTTGTCTTTCGTTTTCCCTTCATTTTACTGAGAATATGACTACAGACATTATTTAGTGTATAGTTTGTAACTTTACTAAATTTTGACCTGTTCTGCGATCCGATTTTGCATTTTTAAAATCTGGATAAGTTTTGAAAAAATTGTAACATTTAAAAAATAATAACACTAATCCTTTGGATCTATTATTGAAATATTTCTACCAAATTTGGATAATAAGGAAGCCCATTTAGGACCTATCAAAAAATATTATTGAATTCGTTATAACGAATTTAATTTGTAATGACAGATTCATTGAATTCGTTATAACGAATGTAATTTGTTATAAAAGATTCATTGAATTCGTTATAACGAATTTAATTTGTTATAAAAGATTCATTGAATTCGTTATAACTAATTTAATTTGTTATTACAGATTTGTTGAGTTCGTTATAACGAATTAAATTTGTTATTACAGATTTGTTGAATTCGTTATAACGAATTTAATTTGTTATTACAGATTTGTTGAATTCTTTATAATCAATTCAAGAATTTGTTTTTACGAAATTCTAAATTGGTTATAACGAATTCAACAAATCTTTAATAATAGATTAAATTCGAAAAACGAATTCAATAAATCTGTTATTACAAATTAATTCGTTATAACGAATTCAATAAATCTGTAATAACAAATTAAATTCGCTATAACGAATTCAATAAATCTGTAATAACAAATTAAATTCGTTACAACGATTTCAATAAATCTGTTAAAACCAATTAAATTCGTTATAACGAATTCTAAAAATCGTTATAACGAATTCAAAAATATTTTTTGATAGGTCCTAAATAGGCTTCCATACGATAATATATGACGTCAAATATAAAAGATATGACAGTAGTCCACGAACTTTTCGAACCACCCTCGTACAGTAACTAAATTGGTTAGAGTTTACTTTGTGACAATTATTGATAAAGTGCAGTAGGGAGTACCTAAAAATGTTAAGTTGATTGACAGGCTATAAGCGTGACATCAATTTACAAATTAAATAATTTATCAAAAAATGACATACTGGAACAGGATGTAAGATATGCACTGAATTTTATTTGCTGCATTTTATATATGAATATACATGCATATATATATAACACGTTTCGGTGCTTCTCTGAGAGAACAGACTTCAGGATAAATTAAGGTACATTACAACAAATGTGTTTAAAAATCTTTTTGAGGACATTAAAAAAATTAATTTCAGATGAATATTTACAATTTAATATTTACAGGTTATATCTTGATCTTTTTTGATCGCAGTGACTTCTTTACGAGACCAAAGCTTAAGCTTTCTTAGCGATGATTTTATGCCTAGTGTTCGCATTCCTTTTTTGCATTCCAACTGCAGATTCAATTTTAGGCCAAGGTTTGATATTTTATTTCTTCTTCTTTTTAGCTTACTATTTGTAGCAAATGTGTTTAGTGTCCGTTTTGACCTATTTTAGCTTATAATTTGAACATATACTCCATTTTTAGCTTACATGAGCTTAAGGCTCAAGTGATGTTGTTGTTGTCGTCGTTGTCGTCGTAAACTTTTCACATTTTCATCTTCTTCTCAAGAACCACTGGGCCTATTTCAACCAAACTTGCTAAAAAGTATCCTTGCGAAAAGGGGATTTAAGTTTATTCAAATGAAGGGCCACGCCTTCTTCCAAGGGGAGATAATTATGAATTAGTGAAAATTTTATGGAATTTTTAAAAAAAAATCTTCTACTCAAGAAACACTGGGCCAGGAAAGATGAAACTCATGTGGAATCATCTTCAGGTAGTGTAGATTCAAGTTTGTTCAAATCATGACCACCGGGGGTAGGGTGGGGCCACAATGGCCGATCAAAGTTTTACATAGGAGTATATAGGAAAAATCTTTAAAAATCTTCTTCTCAAGAACCACTGTTCCAGGAAAGATGAAACTCATGTGGAATCATCTTCAGGTAGTGTAGATTCATGTTTGTTCAAATCACGACCCTCGGGAGGTAGGGTGGGGCCACAATGGCTGATCAAAGTTTTACATAGGAATATGTAAAAAAATCTTTAAGAATCTTCTTCTCAAGAACCACTGTTCCAGGAAAGATGAAACTCACGTGTAATCATCTTCAGGTAGTGTAGATTCAGATTTATTTAAATCATGACCCCGGGGGGTAGGGCGGGGTCACAATGGCCGATGAAAGTTTTACATAGGAATATATAGTGAAATCTTTTTAAATCTTCTTCTCAAGTACTTCAAAGCCATGATTAGTGATGTTTATATGGAATCAACCTCCTTAGTGTAGATTTTAGTTTGTTCAAATCACAACCAACCGACACCCCCCCCCCCCCCCCCCAGGGGAAAGGGTGGGGCTACAAATGTCGATCAAAGTTTTACTTAGAAAAATAAAAGAAAATAAAAGAAAAGAACAATCCCAAGAACAAAAAACCTATGTTAAGTCAGATCATGGCCTTTTGGGGTATGGAGTGTAGGACACCCGCCTACCCCACCCCCACCCAGTAAACTTTTTAGTTCTGACCTGATCTGTGCTTTTTCCTAGACGATGTGCTCAGGTGAGCGATGTGGCCCCTGGGCCTCTTGTTTGTCTACTTTACTGCTGCTGATTTATCATTGAGATCAAGTTGACAGAATTTGCTCAATATCTCAAAATAAATAGATTAATATCAAAAGAGGAAAACACCTGTTGCGGCCTTCATCGACATTTAGATATATCGACGAAGTACTGTAAATTAACAATGGCAATTTTCATACCGATGTCGATACGATATATCCTGGTGAACTTGAGATAAAAGATACCACAGAGTCTGTTTTATCAATATGATACTTAGATATTTTGACTTACCTGATCATTCTATTTTGTCAATGAGCTTGATATAAAAGTTCCACAGTGTCTGACACATTTGTTTCTTATTTGGATATTTTACTTGAGAAAGACGTTAATCAAAATTTAACAATTAATCTCTATGATGACTTACTTTGAAACTTATCTTACTTATTCAGCAACATACCTTCATTGCATGCATACGGATTTCATATATCTCAAATGATTCGATGATTCGATACGCTAGAGCATGCTCTACGTATGAACAATTTTTAAAACTAGCTAAGTAATTGACAAATAAGTTGATGAAACAAGAATATCAGCAGTCTTGTTTAAAGTCATCATTTCGTAAGTTCTCTGGTGGATACAATGGCCTTATCAGCAAATACAATTCATAATTGAGTCAAATGCTGACTGACATTTTTCATACTTACTGTAAGTCCATTATTTATACACTCTTTTTCCCCCGATCATAATAAGGAGCACATGGCGGTTGTGAACGGTCGACGGGAGGATACTCACTCCTCCCTGGCACCTGATCCCACATCTGATGTTTTTGAGGTCAGTGATTGCTTACTTACTATTTTGTATTGTTTTATGGATTTTTGATTGATTGATTGACTGATTGCATGTTGTTTAACGTCCCTCTCTAGAATTTTTTACTCAAATGTAGACGCCACCACTTACTGGTGGAGAGCTTCAAATTTTGCCCTATACTCGGCACTTAGTGTCAGTGATCAGGGAGGGGTCTGTTTTGTGCCTGCACCTACTGCGACATGGGACCTCGGTTTATACGGTCTCTTCCGTGGGACCTGTAAGGATCAACTCCTTACTTCGCGACTATAGAGCAGACACTCTAACCACTGCACCACGCAGGGGACTGGAATTTTGATCTTGAGTACTATTCGTTATTTCAAAATGTTTCAATTTTCCGAGCAAAGAATCAATTCATTTAGGAAATGAATTTAATTTTTAAAGATTTTACAAGGAGAAGAACTACAAAGCCTCATACCGGCTTATTTCATGGAGCGCATTAGCGCTTTGTGATAAATATGCAGGCGTGAAGAATTGAACTTTATGTACCTCATGAATCTTTTTTTTAAGTTTAATTCATTTTCTCATATTTACATTATTTTTATGATGAGTTGCCACGATTTATGTCATTCAATTGTCTTTTTAAAACAAAACATTTTTGCACGTTACTTTTTACGTCAAGTGTGGTTTAATGACGTAACAATGGAAATATTCATGATCATCCATAGTAGTTCATGAGAAAATGAACAGTCTTCTAATTTGCAAAGAATCTTAAGGAAAATATTTGGAAATATAAATATTGTGTTTTTAGTATAAAGCACTCATTTCATACTATGCTTTTTAGTTCTGATTTCTCTAAAAATTACAGTCATCTCATCTTTTACAGCTGTTTGTGGAACTCGGTTATACAATCCTTCTTATTCAATCTGCTGCAATGGAGAGGTAAATGGGAAAGGCTTGAATGCACGTTGCTGTGGAACTACAGCTTTTAATCCTACTTTTAACCGTTGCTGCAATGGAGTTATTTGTTAGATATTGTTATTGGCTTATTCAAATAAACCGTTTCATTATCTTAATGACTAGTGATTTTTTTGCTTGATGTTTTAACTAACTAGAGTTCTTAGTTGTTTTATGGCTCAAAAAAATCTACCCCTACGTGTTTACATACCCGCAATTGAAAAGAGCGTAACTTCGTCAATGAGAAAACAGCAAGATATAAACTTTTTAAATGTTAGGCTTTTCAAATCAATAGTTGAGTTAATTTTTGAGATATGTGATATAATATTTTTGAAAAAGTAGGAAGAAATGGTATTGTTCTAATGTTCTTATGTATATTGCAAATCATAGGCTTTTTAAACCCCAACGTTTTACTAAAAAAATGCAGCTGAAACAATCCGTCTTTTCCTTAAACTACAATATGCCAATAAAGGAATTGACGCGGTTAATATAAGTAATATTCTTAATCTCAAAAGGGTCCAGCCTTGTATTCCACCATATTTAAAGTTAAATACTGTACCTTGTATTTCCTACAAATATGCGTCGACCATTGCTTCAAAACTTCTGAAATATTATCCACCATTGTTTTCATGTTCTTCTTCACACTATAACTATCGTCCTGCTGGACACTTTATTACATGTGACGTAAATATAGTTAATAATGAGCACCTTAGATCACTTATTTTTAAAGGTCCTAAATAAAGGTAACCCTATCCTTCACCTGGGGTCGGAATTTCATTAATACTATGGATTCTATTGAAGATTACGCGAGATGATGGGCCAGATATGAAAAAAGACGTTGACAGAATGGATTAAATGTATCAAATCCATGATAAAATCACGAGTTAAAAGATTGAGAGGCAACATGAACACCATTTATCCTTCTGTATTCAGTAATCCAGAAGTGAAAACAGAATTAGATAGATTACATGACCAGTGCGTACTGGTCCCGGCTGACAAAGCAGGTAACAGCATTATCTTTGTCTGTACGGCCCATTATATGAATTATATGTTAGAAGAACTTTAATTCTACAAGTGGTAATTTAACTTTTCATCATAGTTCCCTTTCTAAGGAAGGATATGGAGATAACAAACAGTATTCAATATCAAAGTCCATAAAACAATACAAAATAGGAGCAGAGCAAACATGGACCTCAAAACATCAGAGGTGGGATCAGGTGCCATGGATGAGTGAGCATCCCCTGCTGACCCCTGCTGCTCGCCGTGTGCTTATTGTCATGATCGTGAAATAACGAAAAAATCCGTCGTCAATTCAGTGTATAAATAAGGGACTAACAATTGGTTTGAAAAACGTCAATCAGCATTTGACTCAATGATAAATTGTATTTGCTGACAAGGTCATTGTATCGACCATAGAACTTAAAAAAATTTTGACTTAAGGTAGGATTCTTCTCTGGTTTCTGACTAGATGAAACATTCAAAGTATATTTGCTTATATGTCTTATATATTGAGGTGAAAGGAATTTAAAAGACCATCTTTTTCTTTCCTCATCACAACTTAAAATAGAAATGGTAAACTGCATTTGAAAACTAGCAGGGACTATATTTTTGGCGGAATGGTGGCGTATGAAAATATTTTCTTTTCTGCCTCTCAAAGTTATAATAGAACAATGAATTTAGTTATAATTTTTACACAATCAAAGTCTTGGAGAAATTTTCAAATGTAAGTTTTGATTAATAATGAGGGACTAAACTTTCAAAATATATCAAATAGATATGATTTTGCAAACAAACCAGAACTTTATTAGCTTTTAAACGCTTCGTATCAAAGTGAAGATATGAGCTAAAAATCCATAAAAAAAGTATTTTTTCTCTCTTAGTAAACGATCAAAACTTTGTGTTTTTGTATCATTTGGTACATTTATAAGACTACTTTATTATATGCAAAAATAAGAAAAAGTTTGATATAAGAAGCATATGAAAATAACTAATATATCCTAAAAAATTAAGAAAAACAGAGAAAATTCGGATTAGCCAATATCCAGTTAAGTTTAATTATTTATGTAAATTTGGTAATGTCATGCTGTAGACCCGATATAGTAATATGTTTTTATGCAAAAAGAACAATCATTTAACTTTTGAAATAGAAGTAGGTATCACTTGATTGGCAAGTTATTTTTTATTCTTAATGTCAAGGAAAAAGATAATGACCTTGACCTGACCTTGCCTCTAATATAAAATGGTAAAATTAAATTTCACTGATACTATAACTTACTGGTATTGTCTTCTTGATTCTGTGAAAATTTCATTGATTTTTGAATATTAGAAATTTGAGAAGAATCCTACCTTAAAACGAGACTGCTGAAATTGTTGATTCATCAACCTCATCAAGGAGAAAATTATTCAAAATCATATGTCCGTATTGAATATTTTGAAAGAACCGAAATGGTCTTTAACTTCCATATATTATTATATACTGTAAACCAACTTTAATTCGCGATGATTTTATTTCGCGATTTACCGAGAGTAAAGTAGTTTGCGACGATTAATTTTCGCGATCAAGCCTTTTTGGGAACTGTTTTTAATAGAAAAAGAGACTTTAAGGCCCCTTTCGCGGCGAGAAATATTCGCGATGACGAGGTTCTCGTGAACCTCGCGAAAATTTCTAGCACGCGAATAAAAGTTGGTTTACAGTATATTAGATTCCGAAACTTCATAAGAATCCATACAAAAATACATTGCAGATTCAGTAAATGTTCAAACAAGCTTCTTTCTTTACTCCTCAATACAAGATTAATACTAGTGAAGGAGAAACTTCAAAAGTGCTGTGCAACAATATATTCAAGAGTGGTAAAAATCGGATGTGGATACTTGAAAATTCCAATGAATATTTGGACAATATGAAATCACAAGATTCCACCAAACTCAACAGCTTTAAACCGTACGACTTTTCAACTTTATACACAAAGTCCAGACTTTTCAATATCATTGACAGCTGCTTTTTCAATAAAAATTGAACTCGTAAATTAACTTACCTTGTCATTGGTCATTTGGAAAAATATTTTGTTTAAAATAATTCTGATTGTACACACTAGTACTCATTAGTCGACATCAAAAAGATGTCTCGGGTTCTGAGTGACAAAATCTATTTTTTCTATTTTTTATGAGACCAGGTCTTCCAACAATCTATTGGAATTCCAATGGTTACCAATTTCATCCCCTTATTAGCATGACCTATTTTTGTACTCATATGAAGCAGAATTTGCGCAATTTTTTACATTTTTTTTACATGAAAAGAAGAAAACACTTGCTGTGGCCTTCAACTCGACATTTAGTTATATCGACGACGTATTGTCAATTTACCATTGTTATTTCCATTCTTACGTCGATACGATATATCTTGGTGAGCTTGAGATAAAATATAACACAGAGTCTCACACATGTGTTTCATACTTGGATATTTTACTTTAAAAAGACGTTAATGGTAATCCAATAGCCAAGTTGATGACTTTAATTTTTCCATCGTCAACTTCCCTTACGTATGCAGGAGTTCATTTATATAAGTTGATTCCATACGCAAAAACATGCCCTACAATTTCTAAAACGAGGTAAATTATTAACAAACAAATTGATGAAACAAGAATATCAGCAATCTCTTTTAAAGTCACCTTTCGTAAGTTCTATAGTCGAAACAATGACCTTGTCAGCAAATACAATTTGTCATTTGGTCAATTATATAATGCTGACTGACGTTTTCATTCGATTTGTTAGTTCATTATTTATACACTGAATTGATGACGTTTTGTCTGTTAGTTTCATTACAAGCGCAATAAACTCAGTTGGTGTGACCGGTCGCCAGAGGATGCTCACTCCTCCATGGCACCTGGCCCCGGGGCCACGAACGTCTTGAGTCGAACTCAAGGGCTGTATTTTACTCAAATTTGAGTTTTTTACTCGAATCGCTGAGTTGAACTCAATAAAGTGTGCCACGAAACTTGAGTCTTGTTCACATAAAGTTTTTTCTAGAGTTTTACTCAAAATATCTGGGATAGCTATGTAGCTGTCTCAGAAGTCGACTCAACACAAAAATGGCTGCCAGGCGCATGATTATGAGAAATATTGTAAGAGTACCTCGTCGTATGCAGGATCGGACAAACCCACTGGAATCTTTGACGGAGGAGGAAATTTTCAGCAGATACCGTTTTAGATCCGCCACCATTATGTTTATTTGCGGTGTTTTAGAAAATGGGTTAAAACACAAAACAAAGAGAAGTTCGCCTCTTCCTACCCTACTGCAAGTGCTTCTGGCCCTGCGGTTCTATGCCACTGGTGCCTTTTATCAGCTGATTGGGGACTCCCTTGCAATCTCGAAGTCGGCAGCAGGACGGGCAGTTCGAGGAGTTACCTCCCTCCTGTGCAATTTGACAAGGCAATACATTCGTTTTCCGTCAGTTCCTGAAATTGCCGAGATACGTACAAAATTTTACTGTTTAGCAGGTATAAATTTCTTTTATATAACATGACAGGTCACAAACTTTGCACAACTTTAACTGGAAAACTGATCAACATATTTTTAGAGGCCTAACGTTCAAACACGCACTATATTTAGGCTCTAATATATTATCTGACAACTGGTGCAAAATAATAGCATGTGGAAAATTATAAAAAATGCACTAACCTCCAATTCTTTTTATTAGTATCTTTATGTAGCTGGAATTTACATCCATTAATTCAAAACAAACATCCATGAAATGATCACACCACGCTCTTTTGAAAGGGAGATAATAAAGTTTAACAGGTTTCGATAGTATGGTGCGCATGTCTTATCAAATTTGTATAAATATTTTTAAGATATATAAACGTGGAGATTTCTTTTTTTTTTTTTTTTTTTTTTTAAAGCTCAATATGTACTAATGTACACAATGGTAAGAAAATGTTTCCTGTATACATGTACTTTAAAGGCTTTCCGAATGTGGTTTGCTGTGTCGACGGTACTTTGATCCGTATTAGATGTCCATTGCAAAATGAGGCTGAGTTTGTTTGCAGGAAAGGATATTACGCTTTAAATGTTCAGGTGACTATTTAACAACTCAGTATACTTTAAAATTTTCCTAAATCGTTTTTATTTAGTGGATGTTGATTGTTGATAGTTTAAAAACGAAGAAAATTAATAAAAGAAAGGGGGGAGGTAAATGCAATTTTTCAGATATGGGTCAAAATATTACAATTCCGGGGTGAATAAAACAAGGTTTATTTAATCTATCTCCATTTAAGATGTCAAAACCTTCATTGAATAATTTCTGCGTACTTATATTAATAAGACTGAAAAGTTCGACGAGTAAAATATGAATAGTCGAAGTTCAAACAATTTTATTAAAACAAATATTGAATATCAATAGTCTTGTAGATTCATATTGTAAATATAAAAAATAGTTTATATCACTTCTTTTGCTTCTAAAAATCACTCCAAAGCTAAAAAAAATCTGTTTAACCTTCTATTTTTGGTTGATGAATAAATTACAATATTGAGACAATCTGCTATTATGGTGTGGCGAGGCATGTAAATGTTTTTTTTGAAAATAATAAATCCTTAAATTCAGTTGTTCGATTCGTAGGCCTTAATTTTTCTCAATGAGTTGGTGTTATCAAGAGTATACAAGCTGATCCGCGATTTTTTTTTCAGAAGCTGACGAATTCGAATGACATAACTTAATATGATGAAATATTTTCAGTAAAGTATAAATAGCAGTTTTGTAATTACAAACAATGTTTTTGACTGGCTTTAAATGTCATACACAAATAATTTCAGGGAAAACAAACACGATTACTATTCAATTCCAAGTAAAATGCGATAGACAATTATCGTAAAATATTTCTGATTTTATTTTAAATGAACCCTCTTTCTTTCTCAATCATTCTTTCCGATCTACGCTTTATTATTCATTATTGCAGAATTATTTTTTTTCCTTAGATGGCCTGTGATGCATCTTTCCGTTTCGTAAATTGTGTTGCAAAATGGCCTGGGAGCGTTCACGACTCACGTGTTTTTAAAGAGTCGTCTCTTGCCAGATTGTTTGAGACTGGTAAGACGTAATGTGATAAGAATAATTTAACTATTAATAATGAGTTTGACATTGACACGGATGCTTGAGTTGAATAAAAAAAATTTAAAAAAAAGATTTTTTTTCATCAGGTGCCCGCACAGGATTAATACTGGGAGATTCGGGTTATGCGTTAAGGAGGTATTTGATGGTTCCGTATCTGGTTCCATCGAGCAGAGCCGAGGAGAAATTTAACACTGCTCTGTGTCGCACTCGGGTAACAATAGAACAGGCTTTTGGAATCTTAAAAAGAAGGTTTCCATGTCTCCAGATAGGTATGTTATACAGTATATATATTTATCTTGTATTCCTAGACCCTCCATTGATAACATATAAGGAGGGGGTCAATGAATGTTCCCATTGTAAATTACGGAAATAAATTATAGAAGAAAATGTTATTTTCTGTTTAATTTTTCTTTTTTTTGTTTTAATTATTTCCCCCCTCTAAACGGTTTATTTTCTTCAATAAAGGATTACGAGTTCAACCCGAACAAGCATGTGAAATTGTTGTTGCCTGTGTTGTTCTTCACAATCTCGGCATCGAGCGACAAGACATCATTGATGTGCCCCCTGTGACTGGACAAATAGTTGATGAAGCTGTGTTGCCGACTGATGCAGGACGCAATGAGGGAAAGGCAGTTCGAGACCACATAGCCCGTACTTTTTTTGGAAATTAAGCAGAAAATAAAAAGAAACGTTAAAATCAGTATGAATAATTTATTTTAATTTAATAATCTCTCTTTTTGAATACGCAAGAGCTCCATTTCTTCAACCAACTTCTCCTTTTTCAGCTTCAATACCTCCATCTCCATTTCCATCTTCTTCTTTTCTGTCATTAGTAAGTCTTTCTGCAGTTCGATTAAACTTTTGGTTTTCTTTTCAGGCCCTTTCTGACTTTTTGCTGCGCAGGAGTTTTGAGTACTGGAGATACATGTAGCTGAAGTTGTGGAGTTAGAGGCAGACTCTCCAGACGAACAATCCACCTCCATGTCTTTAAAATTAAACACAATTCATGCAATGACTTATGACAGTTTTTTGTATTATTTATATCGTGTTTGGCATAAATGTCTCTCATTTTAACTTGTTATAAGATTACAATAAAATATGTTCAAACCATTAAGACAGTATTCTTACCACCAGAATCAAAACCAGAGTCCAATCCCTGCATTGACGGCCTTCCCTCCAACGTATTCAGCATGGCTTGCTCAACAGGGGTTGGTGATGGGGGCTTTGGACCTCCACCTGTCTTGGGTCGTTTCATTTGCGACAGTTTGTCCTTTGCTATTAAAATCAATAATGAATAATATTTTTTAGAAACTCCCTTGTAAATTTTTAATTTAAAATCGTTATCGATACATGTACGTATATACATTTACTATGAAACGATGCTATAATAGACAATGTTTGATATCGACAAATATTGTATAACTGAGTATATCAAAACGGAAATACCTGTAAGACTTTAGTGTTGATATACATGTACACATAATACATATAAATATTATTTATCTTTAAATTAATAATTTTACAGATTTTGAACTTTTCTGTATTAATTAAATTGACCTTTAACTTTGTCTTATTTAAATGAAAAGTCAGGCAAATCGGTAATTGTTTAAGATTTTTAATATCTATGAAACGCGATTTATTTAAATTTATTATACTTTTCAGGAAATTTCTACCTTTATAAAAAGTTATAAAACAAATAGAAAGATTTTTTTCAATTTTTGTTATCAAAAAGATACGCCAATATGACTTAAACTGTAATGCGTTTTGTATTTATTCGGAATAGTAAAAATCGTATGTATCTTAGGTACGTACCTCTGGTTTTCAAATTCGCATATTGCTTGGAAGCCTCCTTTCCTGTCCGAAGACAAATACCTACTCTGTAACACAGAAATAAACCGTAAATAAAACAAATTGTCATAAGAAATCTAGTTCAATACTTGAAACTCTTCAGTGTTTTATTTTATAGCTTATCTAAATCTTTTGTTAAGAACAAGAATTATTTATAACAAGTGAAATGATGATCATGTAACAAACTTCAAACTTGCAGCTATGAAATATAAAACTGGTCCAGAAATGATTACAAACATCAGCCACCTAGCATCGTTTTTGAAAGTTGGAGTGGGGGGCAGCCAGAGAATTTTTTCACTCGAAAATTCTGTTTCGTGTGTGTGTGTGTGTGTGTGTGTGTGTGTGTGTGTGTGTGTGTGTGTGTGTGTGTGTGTGTGTGTGTGTGTGTGTTGTTGGGGTGGGGGTGGGGGGGGTGTGTTAAAAACCAAATTTTTCAATGCCAACTTTTAGTACCATTTTTTTCAGTCAATGCTACATTTCCCTATTATCAATTACTTTCTATAGTATATAGTGCGGGGGGGGGGGGGGGGGGGGGGGCCTTTCAATGAACATTTCCAGTTGGGAAAACAAGGGGGGGGGGGGGCTGTACATGTAGCTTGAAGTACAATTTATAGATACCATGTTACATGGTATCTATATATAGTAACAGGTGTTTTCCGTTATAAAAAAAACTTGAGTCGGCGGTATGGTCGATAATTATAAGACAGCTAGGCCTATAGCTCTTTTAGAATGTATAAATAATATAAATAAATACATTATCAAGGAAAGAAAATTAAAACATACTCATTTACTGCCCTGGCCACATTTTCCCAGGCCTCTTCTCGCTCTCTTTTCCCTCGGCCAGGTCCTTTAAATTTCCCGAAAAGCGTCTTTTCATTTTTTGTTACTTCTTCCAACAGAATATTTTGTTCCAATTCACTCCAAGTTGGTTTTCTTTTAGGATTTGGAGTGCTAGAGGCCAAAGGTGTAAGTTCGCAATCTTCAAACTGTATTTTGTTTACGTCTAAACTTAGAGGAGTTTCTTCTATTAAACTACTTTGCGGCAAAATTATGTCATATATTACCGAGTCTAATGGAACCCCTTCCATTTTGCTTAGACAGGCGCTCCATACACATGTAACGTCATCAAAACAAATATGACGTCATAGTTATATGTTATTATGCAGAAAATCATGAATGAAACGGAAAAATGAACACAGAAAAGGCGTTTAAAGGTTTTTGAATTTATTTTTATTGGTAAGACCTCTTATATCATTAAAAACAATTTGAGTTTCGTGCAGAGTTTTGTTACTCTGGTGAGTTGAGTTTCCTTAGCGTTCGTGGCACACTTTTTTCAGTCGCAACTCCGGAGAGTAAAGTAAAGTTTACTCTACACAGATTTGAGTTGAGTAATATAAAATGTTCGTGGCCCCGGGGCCAGGTCCCACTTCTGATGTTTTGGAGGTCCGTGTTTGCTCTGCTCCTATTTTGTATTGTTTTATGAACCTTTGATCTTGAATTCTGTTCGTTATCTCCATATGTTTCATTTAAAAAATATATAAATTTAAAAAAAAAAAAAAAGGTATCTGATTGACATATTTTCCCGAAGTACAAAAAAAATCTTCATTAGAGGATGTTCTGGTATCTAAATCCTGTCTGAATAATAAAACTTTGTGAAAAAAAAAATTCATCCATTTTTATATTAAGGGACCACACTAAAAATGCAGGGGGTTCTGAATAAATTTCCATGAAATGGCGTCAGAAGCTTTCCTAAAGTCAATCACAAGCAATAAAGCTTTTATAGGTTTTCCTCTTCTATGTACAGCATAATATCATAAATCAAAAGTTTTTCTCCTATGTAGAAATAAAGCCAGTATGATCGCTATTTATTTATTAATTTATTAGTCAAGGTTAATTTTAATTCTGTTAGTAAAAGTGCATGATGAATTTTTGTTTACAATTTTTAAAAACCTGAAGTCATCTCGTTTGTCAAACAATTTAATCAAATGTTGTACTTTTGAGTTTGAATACTATCTGTTATGTCCATTTATACCATTCGGTTTCTTTCTAGATTCATTCCTGAAAAGTACACATTAGCTGGTTTGATTGACTTACGTGTACAGAACTATAAATATTAGTTAAAAGTCAATTAAGTTAATATCATATCAAAAGAATGATACTTTGATTAATTTACAAGGATGTATTGTATCAATATACATGTTATGGAACATAAAACAGTTTTAAATCATTTCACACGATCCCATCTATGATATTTTAGAGGTCAAGTTTGCTCTGCTACTTATGTTAGAAACATATGGATATGACGAACAGTTTTCAAAATCAAAAGCCCATAAAACAATACAAAATTGGAGCAGAGCAAACACGGACCTCCAAAACACCAGACATGGGATCAGGTGCCATGGAGGTGTGAGCATCTCCTGTCGGCCGGCCACACCCTCTCGTGCTCCTTGTCGTGATCTAGAATAAACGGAAAAATCCGTCGTCAATTCATTGTGAATGACTAGGACAATGATAGACTACCGAGTTCTATGTGACCAATGTTAGGGGGATAATAAATGTGGTGATGAAATTAATGACATATCTATTTTGAATACAACATTCTATAGAGAGTAATTAAGCAACGGTGAAGCAATGACAAATCATGTTTTCAATAAGCTAAAGAAAAGACGTAATATACAGTAACTAAATGGGTTAGAGCACAACATGCGTTTTGTTGGATCAAATGACCAAAATGTTTGCCTGAGACAAACAGTCCGATTCAAGACCATCAGGATCAGATGCTAGTCCCTACTAATAAATAGCATCATTTAAACTTAAGTCAGACAAATTAAATTTGGCATATCCCATGGACAAAAGGTAGAATCATTGAAATAAATGACTTCTTACTACTCTTTGTAATACATGGGACATGAAGAATTATGAATCACTTAAACTGTTTTCGAGTTTACTTTGTAACCCTTATTATTAAAGTGCAGTGAGGAGTACGTAAAAATGTTCGTTTGATTGACAGGCTATGGGCATAAAATCACAAATTACAAATAATAAGTAATTTATTTTGAAAAATGACATAATGGAACAGGATGTAATATGTGCATTGAATTCTATTTGCTGCACACATATATAAATAAACAAAACTCATATATATTAATGTAATTTGTGCCAGTATATCTCTGAGGGGACAGACTTGAAGATAGATTAATGTATATGGTTGATTTTTGTTTAATTATTTACATACAGGTTTTTTTTTAATCTTCATCAAAACATGAAGAAAAATCAAAATTAATTGATTGTATTTAATCAAAATTTTTACATGTTGTAATTAGCTCCTTTTTTTTATTGCAGTGACCTCTTTACGGGACCAAAGCTTTTTTAGCGATGAATTTTTGTCTAATGGTCGCAATCCTTCTTTGCATTCCGACTGCAGATTCAGTTTTAGGCCGAGGTTTGATATTTTTTTCCTTCTTCTTTTTAGCTTATTATATACTGAAATGCAAAAGAAACGCAATGTCTTACTTTACAGGGAAATAATTATGTAAAGTGAAGAATTTTGCATCTAAAATCATAGATATCTTTAATTTGGTAAATATCGGTAATTTAACGGCTGAACGATTTTTATACCATAATCGGAAGTCAAGTTTGAGTCTGCTTAACAGAAATCAAAAATTACATGTTTAACAAAACCTTTGGCAATATTATGGAGTTTCAAGAGTTAGTGCTGTTTATCTTAAGTAATGCTGCAATATTTCGAAACATAAAATCTCCATTCGTTTCCCGTAACGATGCTAAGGCTTCTTGAAAATAGCTTCAGTTTGCATTTCCATTGCTCTAGCTGAAATTTTCATTGTAAAGATGGAGAGTTGATGATGCAAAATTACACTACATTACGCTTCAAAGAGGTGCTACGTATCAAATTCATAAATGATAGACCTTGGACTTGAAGTCCAAGGGTTACTATAATGCGCTAAGTTAGAGAAAATTCGACCCAATCATCTGAAAAACAGGCATTTAAAACTGGCAAAGAATAATTCCTTCGCTCAGATCTCGATATTGATTAACCTATTGTATCATAGAAATTAAGCTGCAATTGTTGTTTAGGGCAGTCTTGAACGTTGTAATTGAATGACAAGGAGGAAGGTGTTTTAACAGTCATATGTTACTAAATAAAGATAAACATTTAACATTTTTTCAAATCTCTGATGTTCTGAAAAGTGAGTTTAGCCTTATTGTATTCTATTTTGAAAATCATCAGATAAAAAATTCAAACATTTGTAGATTACTGCTCGTTGCGTTTCTTTTGCGTGTCAGTATATTATAGCAAACGTTGTACTGTCCGTTTTGATCTAACGCTTGTCGTTAAAACAGATACTCCATTTAATATTCAGTCTAGTTTACCAATGCTGATATGTATCATTAAGATTGAATCGTGGTAAAAAGCAATTTTTGTGAATTTATTTAATAATGCTAGTATATTAAAGCTGATCATAGATTTATTTTCTTCTTATTTTTACTAAATACATCAAACGTTTTCATACCACACAACAGGGACTTTTGTATTTGTTTTAACATACATATATATTTGTTTAATTTTTTTGTTTTTCGGAAAATCAATCTATACTCATCACTTATTTTTATTTTGCATTTTTATCTTTGATATCGTGAAGGTTCGACGAATTTCTTTAATCATTGAATTCATATTTTGGGATGTCTTCGGGCCTATAACACACCTGGCCGTTCCGACAAATTGAATACCGCGCGTTAGCGTGGTACGATAATTTGTCGGCACGGCCAGGACCGAAGACATCCAAAAATATGAGTTCAATGCTAATATTTACATTCTTTAATTTTTCCTCTTAAGAATTGTTTATTTCGATAATTTTTGATGCGAATTAATCGCCCTTCAAAACTGGTGTGCCGTTGTGACGTTTGTGACGTTGCAAAGTTTAATAACGGAAACGAACGTTACTAGGGGAAAAAGTGGCTATTAATTTTAAACGCACATTTGTTGATTTTTACGTTAATTTAACAGAGTAAATTATTTTTATTAGATTCTGTCAAAACAATGTACATTTTGGTGTTCTTAGAGTATTGAAAATGCATATAAGTCCTACTGTGTATTCTAACGCGCGATGACAAGGTTTCGCGTGTGTTATAGAAATTTGAACGTTGTGGATTTCTAATGTATTTCATAAGGAAAATTACAGTGAATGTAAATATTGTTATATACAACGCTTTTCCTATGTATAATTAAAGTATATCTAGTGGTGCTTGAAATGTGTTGAACATTATGCCGTCATCAATATGCACGTGTTTTCGACGATTTATCATTTTCACTATGTGACGTCATTCATTTCATGTTTGAGTATTTCTGAACACCAATTTTAATGCACATTAAGAAGGATATTCCTATTACCTATATTTATACGAGTACTTTCTGTTATGCATTACAAAAATAGCATATTATGTTACTCTGCATTTCAGTATATCTTATTTAAAACAATTCAATTTACAGCGATGTAAATGTCCAAAAGATATACTTGAAGGAGTCAGATATATATATAATTACATATAAGAAGTTCAGGTATCAATAGCTTACTATTCGAAACCATCGAATAAGTAGACAATTTGAGGAATTTTTTTTTCTTTAGACAGTAGAATTCTCTTTCATTCATTCGATAAATGGCATCGTTTAGTTAGTTAGAAGGACTTTAAGACTATGGTTAGGTGCGAAAAAATATTGAGTGCAAGAATATCGGGAAAATCCGTCGACAATTCAGGGTAAAAAAAATGACATAAGAATTAAATTGTTTGAAAAGCGTCAGTTTGCATTGGACTTACTTGTAAAATAGATTATAGTTGCTGACAATGTCATTGTATCAACCATAGAACTTATACGGAGTAATGATTTTAAATAAACGAAGCTGTTGATATCTTTGTTTCGTCAATTCGTTTGTAAATAGCTTGCCTGGTTTTGATATTATTTTCATAAGTAGAACGTGTTGTTGTGTTTCGAATCAATTAAGAGATATTAGCCTTGTAAATTTTGCCATTGAATCGTACACACCTGTGAAGAATATTTTGTTGATTATCTTTTACAGCTGTTTGTGGAACTCAACCATACAATCCTGGTTATCAAATATGCTGCAATGGAGTAATTAATGGGAAAGGTACGAACAATCTTTGCTGTGGAACTCGTTCATACAACCCTGGTTATCAAATCTGCTGCAATAATGTAGTTAATGGGAAAGGCTTGAACATCCTTTGCTGTGGAACTCGTTCATACAACCCTGGTTATCAAATCTGCTGCAATGGAGTAATAAATGGGAAGGGTACGAACAATCTTTGCTGTGGAACTCGGTCATACAATCCTGCTTATCAAAACTGCTGCAATGGAGTAATAAAGGGGAAAAGTTCGAACAATCATTGCTGAGGAACTAAAGCTTTTAATCCTACTTTAAACCGTTGCTGCAGTGGTGTTATTTGTTAGATAATATCTTTGGCTTATTCAAATAAACCGTTCCATTATCTTTATAACTATTGATTTTTTGCTTGATGTTTTAAATAAATAGACTTCTGCTTAGTTGTTTCATGGCTCAAAATATCTACCCCTAAGTGTTTACAGACCCACAATTATGCCAATGAGAAAACAACAAAATATAAACTTTCCTAAATTGTAGGCTTTTCTAATCAGTTTTCAGTTGAGGTAATTTTTAAGATACTTGATAAACCAATTTTAAATGAAAGAAGAAAAAAGTGATCAAGCTCACAAAAATCATGACCCCCCCCCCCCCCCCCACACACACACACACACTGTACATGCCAAATTTCCCGGAAAAAATTAAGGAATCGGAATTTCCTGGTAATATGCACATCGACACATTAAATGTCTGCAAAGTTTGACGCAATGGTGTGCAGCGGTTTATGAAGGGTTGCGCTGACAACTGTTCATCTCTATATTCAAGATATAACCCAAAATCAAAGTTTAAAAGTGCCAGAAAAAATAAAGGAATCGACATGTTTTTGTAATATTCAAATTTAGGTACTTTGTACTAAATATCTGCAAAGTTTGACCAAATTCTGAGCAGTGGTTTCAGAGAGGTAGCGCTGACAAACTGTTAACCTCTACAGCTGCTCTATATGGCCAAAAACTAAGTTCAAAGTGTCGAAATTCCCAGAAAAATAAAGGAATCGGAATTGTTTTGTAAAATGCACATCTACACATAGTGTCTTAAGGACAGATGATATAAACAAAAAATGGATGCCTGGATTCGTATATATTTTTTAGTCTAATTCCATGGCAAATGATGCAAATAACAAATTTATAGAATATAAAGAAACCGTAAACCTGATGTGGTGTTCAAAAGTCTGCCCTTTTGCAACCTGTAACCATCCTTATTAATCTATACAGATATGTTTAACTCCAAATCCCACTTTTGTGCAAATTTGAATAAAAAATTAAAAACAACGCGGTGAAAATTATTCATTTTACTCATTTAAACAGGACCCAAGTTATTATTTTCCAGTTCTTTGACAAAAGTTTGTTTGTATCATCTGTCCTTAAATATCTGCAAACTTTGACAAAATTCTGTTAAGAGGTTTAAGAGGAGTTGCGCGAAAGAAAATACTGTTCAAACAACCCCTTTGTTCATCAAACATCAGTATATCAACAAATAAATTGACACAGATAATATTAGTGATCTCTTCATCTTTTTAACCTTTTAGTCACAAAGGGCCCAGTCTAGTATTCCGCCATATTTCAAGTTGAAGTTCACTTCTTGTATGAAATATATATGTGAAAATAACGAACGGTATTTGTGCTCAAGAGTCCAAAAAACATTACAAAATAGGAGCGGAGCAAAACAGACCTCAAAATTATCAGAAATGGGGTGAGCATCTCATGCCCACCGGTCACACCCGCCGTGTTTGTCATGTCCGGGGAAGAATTTGTGAAAAATCCGAAGACAACTTTTTTGTGCAAATAGTGGCCCTCACAATTAGCGTGAAAAATGTCTGTCACCATTTTACTTTATGGTTGGTAGTATTAGCCGACAAGGTTATTTTATTGACCTTAAAACTTACAAATTGGTGACTTCTGATATTCTTATTTCATTGAGTCCTCTACCAAAATTGTGAAATTCTTGGTACCAAGGTCAGAGGTTCTCTTTCTATGGCGGGGGTCTTTTGAATGTATAGTGAAAATGTATTTTTTTTTTAAAAATACCATGGTCCTGAATATGAAGCCAATGCAGGATGTACATAGTTCTGATGTAGAATTCTTTTAAAATTGTGAATTTTCTGTCTCCTGGGATAGGGGTTCTTGTGTTGGGGAGTCTAATGATTATATAGTAAAAATGCATTAATTCTTAAAAAATCTTCTCCTCTGCTCCCTGGAATTAAATCAATGAACCACATACATACGTTTTGCTGAGGAAGGGAACCTTTTCTAAAATTGTGAATTTCACGGCCCTATGGGCACAGGTTCTGGAGTTAGGGCGTGGCTCTATTGATTATATAGAGAAAATGCATTAATGTTTTGAAACTTTTCCTCTCTGCTACTGGGTTTTAAACCGATGAACGACATGTATGTACTTAGTTGCAATGAGGGGAGAAGCTTTTTTCAAATTTGTGAATTTCAGGGCCCCTGGGGCAGGGTTCTGGTGCTAGGGCGGGGCTCTATTGATTATAAAATTAAAATACATGATTTCTTTGAAAAAAAATCTGTTTCTTTGCTGTTCGATGTTATGCTAATGTTCTAAGTCAGATCTATAATGAAGAAATGTGCCTCTTTCAAAATGACTAATTTCATGGCCCCTGGGTACATGTAAGGGGTACCGGAGGGGGTTAATATTCTGAAAATGAATTAATGCTTTGAAATCTGCTCTTTGGTATTAGTTTAAAAAATGTTAATTTAATTAAAAGGCTGTGACCATAATATCACTTTAGAAATGAAGTAATTTATTAAACAATTGACATAATGGACCAGGATGCAAGATGTGCACTGAAGTCTATTTGCTGCATTTATATATAAATATATTTGCATATATATGTAATATGTTTCAGTGCTTCTCTGGGAGGACAGGCGTCAGGATAGATTATGGTACATGATTGATCTTAGCATGTTTTTTTTTTTTTTACAGACAAATGTATTTTAAGATACTTTTGAGAAAATGAGGTAATTTCAAAGGATTGTTTTTAATATAATATTTCCAGGTTCTAACTCGATCTTTTTTTTTATTGCAGTGACTTCTTTGCAGGACCAAAGCTTCCTTAACGATGGTTTTATGTCTAGTATTTGTATTCCTTCTTTACATTCCGACCGCAGAATGCCTTTTAGGCCGAGGTTTGATATTCATTGATGTTTCTTAAAGCCTACTAGCAAACGCTTATCATAAGAACATTTACTCCATTTAATTTTCTGTCAAGTATACCGATGCTGATATTTATCAATGAAATTCAATGGTAGAGAAAAAATATCACCATGGTGAAATCATATCAAAATTTATTATATGATTGAATAATTTCCATCTCTCTGATTGGCTGAGATCCAACTATGTAAGAAAAATACTACGTTGTATTGACCTGCACGTGACGTTCCAGGTCAATACAAGGATTTATTTCCTCTACATTGATCTAAAAATATATTGGGAAATTCCAGATTGATACAAATTGATTTGGAAAGCTATTTAAACTACTATAACTTTTTTTTCATGTGAAGAAAACATAAGCAATGATATATTTTCAGCTGAGGGTGGTAAGAGGGGATGCAGGAACACTCCTCCAACACTTTTACTGAACAACAATTTTTAATTTTTGGCAGTCAATCTCCTTCCTTTAAAAAACTATCCTAGAAAAGAGACTAACATTAATTTTTTTTTTTTCGTAGCAACTAAAATTGATTTTAAAAAAAATAAAAACTTTTTAAAAAAATTAATACGACCTTTTCTCTTAATTGTATTTGGATAGGGCTTAATTAAATTCATAATGCTTTTATCATTTATTAATGAATCATATAATAAAACAATTATTGCTGTTTTTCGGTCAATACAATGATTTAGCCATCTTCGAAGTACAATATTCACCTAGCCCTCCGGGCTCGGTGAATATTGTACTCCTCAGATGGCTAAATCATTGTATTGACCTCAAAACACAACAATAATTGTATAATATTACATGGTATCATATTTATTTTATTATCTACTAAATATTATACTTTTCAGACCAGACGACGAAAGGGATTGTTTACCCTTTTTAAGCACTGTCCCCATCTATAAAATGTTGTTTTGTTATTTAATGCCCTTTTAACATATTTATTTTTTGGTAATTTATCTAATCAATCACCGTTCATCAATTATTTTTAAATTGCATTTTTGACTCTGATATTGTGCGTGTTCGACGAGTTTCATTGCTATTTACAACATCTTTCCTCATAACAAAGTCCCGTGGGGATCCGGGTTAGAATAGGTCCTCAGTACCCCCTTGCTTGTCGTAAAAGGCGACTAAATGGGGCGGTCCTTCGGATGAGACCGTATAAACCGAGGCCCCGTGTCACAGCAGGTGTGGCACGATAAAGATCCCTCCCTGCTCAAAGGCCCTGAGTGCCGAGCATAGGCCTAAATTTGCAGCCCTTCACCGGCAATGGTGACGTCTCCATATCAGTGAAATATTCTGGATAGGGACGTTAAACAGTATACAATCAATCCTCATAACAAAAAAAAAAAGCATTAAGTTAAGAAATTACTTAAGAGCTGTCTCTATTATAATTAAAAGCTATCAATTTGCGGAAAATCAATATTACTTTGATATATCATAACCGGTAGTATTGACAACGGATTTTCATGACTTGGAGCACGGCGGATGTGACTGGCAGGCAAAAGATTCTCACATCTCCATGGCAACTGATCCCACTTCTGAAAATTTGGAGCCCCTTGTTTGCTCTGCTTCTATTTTGTATTGTGTTTTGGACTTTTGATCTTGCATACTTTTCGTTATCTCCATATGTTGCCTTTGTTGTCAATAAGGCAGTGTTAAGTTACACCCCATAGAACTTCAATCACCTATACCATGATTGCTGGAAATGCAAATTGCTTGTAAATATATATATCTAAAAACAATGTGTATAACTTAGGTTCAGCTATTGGTGCCAATATATTTGTATCAACCATAAAACTACGGATTTATGACTTTAAATGAGACTGCTGATATTCTTGTTTTATCATGTTGTTTGTTAATAATTTTACCTCATTTTAGAAAATTTACGTACGTAGAAAATGCACTTGCGTATCGAATCAACTAAACTCCGTATGCAGGTGATGAAGGTTTTTTGCTGCATAAGTAATGGAAGTTGACGATAGAAAAGTTAAAGTCATCACGTTTATCATAGAGCTTAGTTGCTAGAACACCATTTACGGTTTTTTTTTTCAACTAAAATATCCAAATATGAAACAGATGTAAGACTGTTGTGTCATTCATATTTAACACAGCAGGATATTTCGTTTT